CATTCATTCATTCATTCATTCATTCATTCATTCATTCATTCATTCATGCACACACATACATACATACAGACAGACAGACAGACAGACATACATACATACATACATTCATACTTGCACACATACACACACATAGGCTCAAGGCCACGAGCTGCAGCCAACAAAGACCTGCTGGTGCGTATCCCCCAGGCGCACATAGCTGGGAGAATCACAGCAAGAAGGGCCCAACCCGAAGGACACCTACAAAACATTCTTTGCCCGCAATCCGCTCTTCACCATCCTCGCTTTGGCAGAGAATCACGGTGGCTGGCAATTGCTCGCCCTGGACATCAACCAGGTGATCCTTGTGAACTACCTCCCCACTCCTTCAGCCTTGCGGAGTATTTCTACTGCCACTTTGCCCGTGATCCCTACGAGATCCAGTACCTTCCAGGCCAGAACGAGGTCGGTGCCACAGCCATGCAGTGGGGACGAAACTACATGGTTTGCAAGAGCACCAAATGGATCTGGACAGATAAGGTCAGAGCAGGCACAAAGTGCCGCAGCACAGGCAAAGGAAAAGGTCAGGGACACGGACAACCACGAGACCACGGTCATGGCAAAACCCCCCGGCCACGCAGACAGTCAGGAGAGCAGCTTTTGGATTCGCCTCGCTGGGCTTCGGCCGCGCCACCAGATCCGTGTCCAGGCCTTGTCCTCCTCTTGTCCTCTGTGGCTGGGCTCTGCGTCCAGGCCTTGTCCTCCTCTTGTCCTCTGTGGCTGGGCTTTGTGGCTGGGCCTTGTCCTCCTCTTGTTCTTGTCCTCCTCCTCTGTGGCTGGGCTGTGTGTCCAGGCCTTGTCCTCCTCTTGTCCTCTTCTTGTCCTCCTCCTCTGTGGCTGGGCTGTGTGTCCGGGTCTTGTCCTCCTCTTGTCCTTGCCGTGGCCGCGCCCCTGAGCTCTGTGGCTCGCCTCTGTGGCCCGGCTTGCTGGAGAGGAGTGTGGCCGAACAAATGGCGATGTCAATGCCGACAAAAATTCATTGATGAAACAGGCTGCTCTTGGGGTGAAGCATTTCTTGACTAATATTGGTCTAAACGAATCGTTTTGAAACTGTTTGGGGCCTATGCTGGTGTAATTCTTTATGTATATATACACATACATATACACACCCATGTCTTGGCGGCTACACCACCTTGGAGATAACTCCTGTCAGATTTTAGGCATTCTACCGTATGAGGCTCGGAGCATCCGACCAAACAAAGTGGGCGCAAGCTCCCTGGCCACGATCTCTGGGGTTGGACGGTTAGGATCACGAGTTCCGACCAAAGATCTCTTCAATCTATGAGGTGGAGAGCACTTGCTGGGAAGTGGGTGTTGAGCTCGGAACCTCAGCCCTGACCAGGACTGACCATGAGATTGCTTGAATGATCATTGGGCGGCATCCGGACAAATCGTAGCTTGTTAGATGAACTGGATAGGAAATTCAGGGTGTCGAACGTGGGCAGAGAGAAGCCTAGAGCTGGTGCTTAGTAGAGAATGCCTGGGGAAATGGGTTCTAAGGTATCTATATATAGTGGAGGATCACTCCCGTCCCTCATTCCCTGCTAAACACCAGTCAGTTGTAGAAGTTTTGATGCGTTTTAGATGGTGGCCATGGTCAGGTCCTTGTCAACATGAGACCGACATGCGCAGCAGCTCACAACAGAGCTTTGAAGCTTCGTTGGGATGTGGTCCGATCCCTGGCTGAGAAAGGGACATCATGAAAAACATGGTTGCATGAAGAGGTGCTCATGGGTGTGGAAAACTCACCTTGGCATTCCTCAGCCATCTGGCTTACAAGCACGAATGTGAAAACTTCACTCAGGTTTAGTCAACTGAGAAGGGCCACTAACAAACCATCGAATTAGTCAGCCCGTATTGCCGTATTGCATCGGTCTAGGAGTCTATACAGGCTCCTCGGAAACTGCAAATGAGACTTTAGCATTGTTGGCAGTAGGGTCTATGAAACTTTGTTGCATAGACGCAGGGCAGGCATGGACATGAATAGAGGTTTGCTAAAGTTCGCCCTGACCTGAATAGTTTACAGTGGACCGGTGCTGCCATGGCACCCCGGCCGCTGGATGAGACCGTTCCCTTTCGAGGGCCTCCAGTAGGTCATTGCTTGGAGGAAGAGGACCGTTCCCTTCGCGCTGTGTCTGAGACACTCCAAGGCACAGAGGGAAACCATCACAGTTCCGGATGTTTATTTTTCTTTTTTCGTGGCCCGCTCTTAATGAAGTAGACGGCTACTTAGGTAAGGGCAGGCCGTCACTACCTACTGGACATTACCGGACGCAGGATAGCTCACAAGAAACTTGATGGCAATAGGGAGTTGGCACATTGCCATCTTCCAATATGACTACGGCCAATTGTCATGCCAAGTGCTTATATATATATAACATATAGAAAAAACACACACATATATATATATATGCAGTATATCTCTCTATCTATCTATTGCCTATTGCAGGAAGAAGCCTCAGACACTTGCTGTGATGCCGAGGCTGGAAACAAGTTACATCCATTCAGCCAGGTTCAGCATGTTTTTTTCCACCAATCCTCTCTCCAAGGAGTCGCAGCAGCTGGACGACGACGAACCCGTTGCGCTTCAAGTGCTCCGAGGCAGCGCTTCCAAACTGCCAAGGTCCCTAAGGTCCCATCAAGCAATGGTCAGCGACGCTAAGTACTTTCGTCAGAATGCACCTTTGATTTGGCCGAATGTGTTCGCTTCAGTGTGAACGGTGCAAGCATTGTCATATGCTCGCCGCCCGAAGTTGTGGCCTGGCTCAAGCCCAGCTGGCTGCAAAGTGTTGTGACAGGTGTGGTCACGGCTACACCCTTGGCCAGATGGGAGGATGCTTATGCGTAGAAGGGGCCGTGTGCCCTGCCACTGAGTTCACCTACATTGAAGAGATCTATGGTCCGTACAACCCTCTCCCCCATCAAGATCATCAACACGAAATTCCGGCCCAGCTCCCCAATTTGCTCAACAGACAAGGCGCTTCTCCAGAGGAGACGGAGGAAGACAAGCTCAAGGAACCTTTGAAAGAGCAGGAGGCCGTAGATGATGCAGTGGCTCAGCGTCAGAACGAGGAGGCGTTGAAAGAGCAGGAATATCAAAGAAAGCGCCGGGAACGTGAGGCCAAGCTTGCCATGGAATTGGAGGCCAAGAAGGAGAAGGTGGCACAGGTTTGGACTGAGATGTGCGAGGTCCTGGAGAAGAATGCCCAAGAGGTCACCATGCAAGAGGGCTTGACTGCTGCCAGGCTCAAGCGCCAGACACCGCCTGTTGAGAAATCTGAAGATCGACCCCGACGAGTTCAGCGGCGCCGGTGCCGGACCCCACGCTGCAGTGAACTGAGGGGCTCCTTGGATTTGACCCTGCCACATGTCCGCGGGCGAAGCCCTTCGCAGCGTGCCAGACCCGTGTGAGCGAGTTTCACCAAAAACAGGTAAACAGGAAGCTTTGAGCAATTCGTTAGCTTGCTTACTTTGTGGTATTCCGTATTCCAAGTCAACTCTTGTCCTTGGCCCCACGCCAAGGCCACACGTTTTGTACAAAAAGACACGCACATCCTTATACACTTTTAACCTGCCAGGTCACCGACAAGTCTTGGAAACGGTAGTGGATAGCACCACCACTGTGGAGCAGCTGAAGGTTCAGGTGGAACAAACTACTGGGATCCCAGGACAGGAATCGCCGAAATGCTATATAGTAGGCCCGATCGGCTTTTTGGTTGACGCCGTTGTCTTTGATTGGCAGGAGAGCGTCAGATCATTGCTTTGAAGGGGAAGCCTCTTTGCAATTCATTAGCCCCTCGGAGAGAGCCTGGCTATTGCCGGAGTCAACTGAGTTAGTTGCTAGAAAAGAGAAGAAACACCGAACATATGGGCACCTCTAATAAGGCGCCCTTTAAAAGGGGCCTCATCCTAGGAACTCTTACACTGGTTGCCTTCGTTAACACGTCTTTACTAAGCATGTCAGCATGTCATATGCACCGACTCAGAGGCAGACAGACACCGACAAACCAAGGCACTCCGCAGCTCTTTGAATCGCCTAGTCTCCACGGTCACGGTGAGGGAAGCAGATCAGTCGTGGGTCAAGACCCTGGAGGACCGTGGCGGACCGTGGGACTGCGTGGTGCATTCGTAGTTTCCTTGGATCGCTGAGCAAGGAGTCTTAAGAATTCAACGAAAAATGCACAGCAACCCAACAAGGATGTGGATGATATGGCAGGTCATCTAGGACATTTTACATAATATGCTAAGATAGAGAAGTACCTCATAATGCAGAAACAAAAAGCTACTAGGAACAAGGGCATTGCTACTAGGGGCCCTGGCCTTACTAGCAAGGACGCTACTAGTAAGAAAGGGAATCGCTACTAGAAGCAAGGACGCTACTAGGGGCTCCTGGCCTTACTACTAGGAACAAGACGCTACTAGTAACAAAGGGCACTGCTGAGCAAGGGCTCCTGAAGCAGGATCTCCAAAACTCCGAAGCCTTGAAGGCTGAGGCCTCCATTGTTGGGACGGAGGCGCAGTGCGAGGCAGCACTCAAGGATGCGAAAGTCATGTGCTTCGGCGCACTGAGTGGATCTGAGTGGAGAGGAGATGGAGGAAGTTTCAGGATGTGGAACATAAATAGCATCCCAGGTTTTAGCGTTGATTACGCAAGCTTGCAGCTTCATGAAGGCCACTTACCGGTCATGTGCACCAGAGAACACAGCTTGTCCAAGGATGGAAGAACTTCGGCAAACTGCCGCAGAAACGTCCCCTGGCGGCAGATGCATTGTTCAAGAGATGTTAGAGATTGGCGCTCCGGAACAGCCATGACAAACTTGCAACAGACACATATTTAGCACGTAAACAATCCTTGTGTTGCAGTGAGGGTTGTGACGGATGCATGGGAGACACAAAGCACATGAATCACGTGTTGTGAAACTAGGTGAGAGAGTAGGTGAGACTATAAGTATGCCTAAGTATGCTATTGGTGGACAATATACAAAAGGCCATCAATGTGCTCTTCACACCCAAGAAGACCGTTGCTTACATCGTCATTTCGACAATGCGGGTCACTGGGGTCTTCTGTTTCAACTATTATGCCAAGCGCCTAACTGTGGACTTAGGATTTCTCAGTTCAAGCAGGCCACGGCAGCCGTTCGCGGCCTAGCACACTGTAGGAAGGTGTTGCAACTAGGACCGCTTCCTTAACTTGAGGTCCAGGATCCAGCCATACATAGGCCTTGACTTGAGGGGTGCAGAGACACCTACATCCAGTACAAAAGAGAGATGAAACTATCATCCATCAGATGTGTCAGTGCAGTCTTCACGGCTCACTTCTAGTGCAGTTTGCAACCAACACGTGCAGCTCAACCATGCATCTGCGCTCAGTTGGTCACCAGCGCCAGCGACTTGGAAGAGGCGGCGGAGCGCTTGCAGCGAAACCGCGCCGTGATTTTCGAGGCGGGTCGAGCAGCCAGGTCCTCGACATTCTTCGGCTTGACGAGTCGTTACTACAAATCAAAAGTGCCTTGAAAGATCTTGAAAGGGGGTTCGCTCCGAACCTTGTTTGACTTGACCCCACCAAACAGGGAAGTGGACAATCACCTTGTTTATCGTAAGATATCGTAAGATGGGCCAGTGTTCATTTCCATGCCAAACGAGCAAACACAGCCATGAAAAGCAACGCTTAGAAGTCGAGACAAACATGCCAACTGGTTCCAGGACTTGTTCAGGTCGGAGCGCAAACGAAGAAACAATCCTTCCAGGTTGTGCCCAGAGGCTCCAAAGGAGCACGTCGCGCTGCAGAGGATGGATACTGCAGTTGATGGGATGGAATTCCTGTCTCAAGCATAAGTTAAGTATGGGCATCATTGGGCATCCCTTTGCAGCGTGCATTCTCAGATCATGAGTCAGCCTCGTGTCCAGGACCTTATGCAATGTCGAAGCTCATTGCTGGCCGCCACACAAGCCAACGGCAAAGTCCTGGCGGCCCGCAGTTTCAGCCTTGGTGCTGGGGTCCACTTCTGTCAAAGGCATTGCCCCAACAGAGGCCATCTTGTTCTCCAGAGTAGCTGCACTCCCCCACTGTTCAGCGCCCTCAAAGGGATGTATTGATGGATGTAATCAGCTTTCACTGTGTGGCTTTCGTGTAGAGATTGATAGAGATGATCTCGCTGTCAAGGTTCTTGTGTGAGCTCCGTGCACAACTCGTGCACGACGCAGCTGTTGATGACCCGTGCATCAATACGTCACGCCAGCGAGTGCCTGTCGCGACGAATTGAGCTGCTGCACATGCAGAGGCAAACCAAATTGAGCGAGGTTTCCTGGATTCCAGGCTTACTTTGGGCTTTGGAATGATGAGCGTGGTGCTGTTGTGAGACGCTGTTTTGGTGTGAGAGGCTTGGCAGCTTGCTCAGCAACGCAGATGTGCAGCTGAAGCTGCAGCGGTGCCAGGATGATTTGATTTGCCTCCGGGAAGTTGGCTTAGAAAGGCTCAGCCAGGAGTGACCGCCAGCGGTGGAATGCATGGTGTTTGTGGATCAACACCTGTTCTCGGAAGGAGCAGTCCGAGCAGGTGTTTCAACATGCTTTAGAGTAGTATATAGTGGCAGTCGTTGTCGTCGTCGTCACATGTTAAACGCTGCAGGCGATCCTTCCAACCCTTGCAAGCACTCTTTCAGTCATTAGTCCACAACCCACATCATGCATCGAAAGTAGGTACTTGTAGCTCCCTGCAGAATGTCGGGTGCCCCCAGGATTTAATGGCAGCACGGCGGAACTACAAGGTGGCCATGAGATCGATTCTTGAATCAAAGAAGCGCGACGAAATCCATCTCACCACCTTGGACACCTTGCAGACCTTGTAACAAGAAGCTACTAGGAACAAGTGCATCGCTTCTAGTAACAAGTGCCTTACTAGTAGTAACAAGAAGCTACTAGGGGCTCCTGGCCTTACTACTATATAGTTACTAAGAGGTTCTGAGGGATGAAAGGTGCAACCAAGATGGGCGGCGACAGGCACCACAGAGCCAGTCTTGTAGTGTCATAGTGGGATCTCAAACGATGAAGCAGGGAACCCAAACACAATGCCCCTGAGAAGCATGTGCCAAAACGTAGGAAAGTGGACAATGAATTCTGAAGCAAAGTCCTCAAATATAAACACATTATATTATATAAACATACTACATTCATACAGTCATACGGTAACTATATTAAAGCCAAAACCATGATATTAACATTCCATAGTTGTCCGAGGCCCGGCCCGGCACATTGTTAGATGACTCGTCACAATCACACCAGCAATGTGGCAACCTACAACATCATGAATTACAATGGCCTGCGAGGGGCAAACAGACGCTGGTTGACCCCCCAAAACTAGCGAACACCACGTCAATTCCAGCAATCCTTTGCAAAAGCATGGGCTCAAGATTCACAGGCCAGAGGTTGAAAAGCAGAGGACTGAGCCAAAGTAAAAGCTTATGTTGCCACTATGCCTATGCACATCAAGCCACACGATTCCTAGAAAACAGGTGAATATAGGTGAATAATTATTGGCATTTATTGGCTTTGCTTGGGGTCGCAGTACTTCAGAGTTTGGTTGCGTCATCGGTTTGTGCAAATGAGGGCGTTGATAACTCCATGGAGAAGGTTTTGGATTTTGGAGAATCTATGAAAGCAAAAAACTGGTAAGTTCAGAAGGAATCACAAGCGCCCACTAAATCCAGGCTGGGAAATCGAACGGGGATGTTTAGTTTAGATAGATGCTGGGAAGGAAGCCAGGCGACACATTCGGACACCAAGTAGCAGAGAGAAGCAGATAAAGGAATCCTTTCAAGAAAACGATCACTGAAAAACCGGTGTCTCCACAACATTCACCATGAAAGGAGACCCAGACGCTGCCGAGAGAGAGGTAATCAACCCACCAGGACAAATGCCCGGAAAACCGCCTACAGTGACGAGGAGGAGGACGACGACAACTACAACAACAACAACCGCAACCACAAATGTATTGTAATAATAACATATAATGACTTTACCGATGACAATGACAGGGCCTTGTTACAATGACAACGTGAACGACGAGAGACAATTCCATTTGCAGAAAAACAATCATATTCGCAGCATCAATGACAAACTGCACTGGCAACAGCAATGGCAGCCATTCACAATGTCAGCATCAATAGCAGAATAGCTTGAATAGCAACAACCAATGTGATGACAATAAAACTTGCAGTGCACTGCGGTCACTAGAATGGCGAGCTTCTAGGTGGGAGTAGACCTAAAGTGGTTTCTTTGAGATTGTCCGGGTAAATCAGATGCAGATGAACGGGCCACCGGTTTGACAGTTTGACACCTGAGGAATTTGCTTGCGATCAAACGGGCGAGCGAGTTCCTGCAGCAGGACTCTTGGCAGCCTGGGTTTGTTTTTT